TCAAAAAAATTAATAAAATGATAGAACCACTAACTATTGAATTAAATTCTCTTACCAAACTAATAAATATTACGGAGTACAAAATGTCCTAACAAATTTTTTTTACAAAAAAAAAAAAAAAAAAAAAAAAAAAAAAAAAAAGATAAAAGTAAAAATACTTATAAGGTATAGATTTTTTTTTTGAATACTGCTCACTCGATTACATAGTATATGTTCAAACATACTCTCTCAATCTGAAGCACACAGAGTCAACAACGCCTTCACTGAGACTTATAAAATATAGATAAATCTATATAAATAGGCACCTTCCCCGATTTGAATCTAATATATCTTCTAAAAAACCTTAACAAACCATTTACCGAAATAGGCATCACAACAATGGTGAGTCTCCAAATGGCATCCATAGTCCTTTTGGCTTTACTAGCTTCGTTTGCCCGCGCATATGATAACAACCCCTTGCAAGATTTTTGTATTGCAGTTGCTGATCCCAAAGCTGCAGGTACACATTTACATTTTCATAATGCCTTCATATAATTTCTCTCTTCTGTCAAAATTTGTGTGACACCGTCTCATCAATTTTTGTCTGTGAGACATGTCGAGTTATAGTCAAGTGGGTGTGTAATTAAGTATCACAATTCCAATTATAAGTATTGCAATATTTATCATTAGTAGCAATCAATTTTTTCCTAAATAGTATCAAATTTCACATATTAGTATTACAATATCTATCATAAGTAACATTTCACATATAAGTATTACAATCCTAAATTCGACATGTCTCACGGATTTACATTCTCACACAAGCGTGACTCTTTCTTCTTTCTTCTATTCTCAAATATTGGCTACTGAACTAGCTAGTGAGCTAAGCCCGTGCGTTTGGCCTCTTTCTTTCTTTCCAAAAGGTTGAACCCCAACCCAACAGAGCATCTGGGAGGATGTAAATTATGGTAACTCATCAACTGAACATGAACCATGGCTTACTGCGCACAAAGAGCCCCATCAACTGAACATGAACCATGGCTTACTGCGCACAAAGAGCCCCCTCACTTTGAGAGGTTGCTCCCATACTGCCGCTGGTGAGACTCGATCCCTGGTCATTCTTTCTAACTTACACCTCTATGACCAGTTGAACTGCCCATGCGGGCGGCCTCTTTTTTTCTTGGTTAGCTAATTAAATTGTGCATGCATTATAATTATATTGGTTGTTAATACATGCAATGCAGTGTTTGTGAATGGGAATGTTTGCAAGAACCCAAAACTTGTCGAAGCAAATGATTTCTACAAGGCTGCTGGGTTTAACACCCCTACTGGAGGTGTAAATCTTAGTTCTGTGGGACTGGTAGCAAAGCTTCTAGATGTAAACCAATTCCCAGGGCTGAACACCATGGGGTTGTCAATCGCTCGTATAGATTTTGCACCCAATGGCCTAATCCCACTCCACACCCACCCTCGAGGCAGTGAGGTTGTGTTTGTTCTGAAAGGCACTGTTTACGTTGGCTTTGTCACTTCAAATCCACTCAATGGTCAAAAGAATAAGCTTTTTGCCAAAATTCTTAATCCTGGCGACGCTTTCATTTTTCCAGTGGGACTCGTTCATTTCCTCTACAATATTGGCCACACCAATGCTGTAGTGTTTGCCGCTTTCAATAGCCAAAACCCAGGATATGTCTCCCTTGCTAATTCTGCCTTTGGATCTGCCCCGCCAATTTCACAGGATGTTCTTACCAAAGCATTACGCCTTGACAAAAAAACCATTAACTATCTTCAATCACAGACCTGGCCTCTTATCTAATAATCTGCTTCTATGCTATTAGTACTTATTATTATCTTTGAGTTGTATGTGGTTTGACATACAATATACTATTAAATAATAAAGGTAATATTATATTTCTGTAATGTCAAGGATGGCCTAGTATGCTCTTTTATATTAAATAATAAGAAGTTTATTATGGTATGAATGTATTATTATATTTCTGTAATGTCACTATGGACAATGTCTCTTCCAATGATATAATTATGGGTTTTTTAAAAGTAAATTGTTGTGTTGGGGTACAACCTCTGTTACGAGTCAATACATGCACATGAAGTGCATAGCCCACATATTGAATTTGGTGGTGCATGATGGATTAAAATTTGTTGATAGTTCTGTTAAGAGGGTTAAAGATGTTGTGAGATGGGTTAGGAACTCACTTACAAGGTTCAAAAAATTTAGAGATCGTGCTGATCTTATTGGGATGGAAGCAAAATGTGATGTACAGCTAGATGTTCTAACAAGATGGAATAGCACCTGCGTTATGTTTAACACTGTCATACAATATAAGAAGGTGTTGCCATACAATACAAGGTGTTTGAAGCATATGAGGAGAATGATGCCTCATTTTCTACTGATCTAGCTAATTTTGTTCCTTCTTATCTTGATTGGTGTTCCATGAAAAGTTTGATAATTCTGCTCAAAAGCTTTTATGAGATGACAGTGAGAATATTTAGTTCTCTTTATGTCACCTGATGGATATCAATATTGCACTATGCTTACTTTCCCGTGGGTCACCCTTCTTGTGACTGTTGTATGTCAAACACACTTAACGGTGAGGGAGCATTTAGATCGCAAAATGTGACATTACCTAAACTTCATACTAATTTAGTTGAAGTGTTTTTTCTTTTTCTTGAGTAATGATGATTACTCGAGGGTATACACTGTATAAACACCATCTTGCGACCCTAGCCAGTAAAAGACTACACGGAAGTCAATTGTTATACCATGGACCAACGTTCATCTTATATTGTGGATCTTGTTCCAAAACGACATTCAAATTGTGTACCTGCAATTAACATCTAAAGTACATATTATGTACATGCAATTAACATATTATGTACCAGTAAATAAATTATGTACCTATTACAACTATAACAATTAACATATTGTATATATGTAATTAATAAATTATGTACTTGCAGTTAATAAATTATGTACATATTACAACCGCAACAATTAACATATTGGGAGTGTTTGGCAAATGGTTGTTAGCTGATTGGGTTACTGGGTTTGACTAGTTGATAGCATTAGCTGATTGTAAAAAAGTGTTTGGTAAATTAACTGTTAACTGTTAGCTGATTACATACAAAATGACTTTCTCAAAAAAGCTACTTTGAGCAGCTTTTTAAATTTTAACATTTTGGAAAAATGAGTATTACTAAACAAGCTTTGTAAACAGAATCAGAGAATAAAAAGTAAAGAAAGAAAACTGAAAATTAGAAAACATAAATGAATTTGGAAAAATGGGTATTAGTAAACAAGCTTTCTAAACAGAATCAGAGAATAAAAAGCAAAGAAAGAAAACTGGAAAACTCAGAGCAGAAAACTTAAGTAAAGAGGCCTATATGAATTCGCTTGAATTTGCTTTCAACTTTCTTACGCCTCTCATACAACAGTTGTATGTTCTATTTGTCAATCCCACTGCTACATAGATATAAGATATATGATGTATCATATCCAGCAAAAATATGATTTGATCACATGGAAGTATGGAACATACCTTGACTCCTCCAACATTGGAACGGTGCATCCCAGGCAATGCTCCATGCTTCTGCAATTTCTTAGGCTGCACATGCAAGATCCCGAGGACTCTGATGAAGGCCTAATGTTCCACAAAAGGCTGGGTGCTGATGTTTTCAGTGTCCACAGCCATCCTATTCAACTTTATAAAACTGAATAGAACACATTGAGCAGATGAGTCTGATGATAAAATAGAATCCGGTAAAGTCAAAACAATTTCACTGTGGCTGCCAATATTTCCATGAAAACAGATAGCAAAAGCAATAGGATTCTAACCCTTATGCTTCAGTGTAGAGAAAACTAATTGCTACAAGGGACTACATCTGGTCATTGCACCGCAAAAGACAGTAGGGAACTGCAAAACACGGGATCTTCTGTGAATTCATGCAGACTTTAGTCAGCTACAGAAGAAACCATGCATTATATTCTTTTACAACCCACTTATGGTTTATAAATCACTCTAACTAAGACTACATAGTAGCGAATCCAACAAGGCAGAGAGTAAGAGCAACTTTTTTTTGCTTTAATGGATCAATGGTCAGAATCAATTAGTACAGGTGTAAAAAAGAAAATGAGCTCAAACTAAATTGAGGAGATCAATAGCTCAAACTAATTCAAAATATGGGTGCTAGATAGATCAAATATTCATCTTAGCTATACAGGGAGTCAGGGATATCTATCTAGACCGTTAATGGCAATGAAACTTATCTTTCACAAAATTGAGGCAAAATTCCCACTCCCTCACCCACTGTCAGATTAACTTTCTTCAACTCTGTATCACTTGCTTTCAGAATTTTACTCTGCTAATAGAAGTTTTCAGTATTTTATGTGTAAATAAAGCATAAAGCGTAATAATTGGATTGTGACTCTCACATACAGCATAATGTCATATGAGATCTGTAGATCTTTATCTCACCGAATTCTAAGGTAGAGTTGTTTTTGGTGACCAAGTGCCAGAAAAGTAGGCACTAACTTGTTAAAAAGCTTTGTTTCAAAAACCTACTTGCGGTGGTAACACAAGATTAATGCAAAAGCTCAAGGGGAAATGAATGCATTCAATAGCAAGATATGTCATGAAAGATAGTGTAGCTCTGACCCATATAAGGCCCCAGAAGTATGGGAAATTCAAGACAGATATGAGAGCTGCAAATATTCATAATGAATATTCCTCATATATACAAAACATAGGAACATGAATCAATCAAACACCACATATACATACAGAGAAAATGGATAATTCTGACCGGGTAATACTAGATCTATTTCACATATAGTTCACAGACACTCTACTCATATCCAAATGCAGAAAGGTATGCAGCATTCAAGTGCCATAGATTAACGGAGACCAACATACTTCTTGAAATAAGCATAAGATTAAGTGCAAACACAAACTACTTGGCTGGCAATGTTTCACCTGCAAAATCCAGAGCAGAAGTGGCTCTATATATAACAACAACAACAACATAGATAGCCTCAAAATCTCCATACAGAAAGAAATAAGCACCTGAAGTTCGAAGGGGAGGATGAGTGGTAAATTCAAGGCAAGTAGTTAAGGTGTAATGTATACCCTTCTCTCTGCCAGTATACAAAATATACAAGCCACTCATGCTATCCACAAGTAGTTAAACACATACTATATAATATAGTATAAAGAATCAACTATTCTGATTCCCGAGAATCGTCCTTAGGAGAGGGTTGGTGCTGGTTTTGCATTCTGGGGTGTTCCATCTGCTGCTGCTGGTGATAAATATGGGTCAAGGCTTGATTGTTTAAAACCCCTATATGAGCATCTTGTGATAGCCCAAGTTCCAAACCAGGAAGCTGAGGGTTAGTGGCACTTAAAAGTGAGGTAAAACTCATGGGATTGATATGGGTGAAAGGCAGGTCAAACCCAGAGAATCCACCCTTGTGTTGGTAATTTGAAGTGTCGCTTCCCAAATTGGTAGTAGAAGTTGAAGAAGATGAGGATGATGATGATGACATAAAAGCGGCAGCTGGGGGCCATAGACCCGGCGTGGAGATATGGTGTCTCCCTAAATTCCCACCAACCATTGGCCAAGCGGCGGCCCTACTGTTACTATCAACGGCCCCCATGTGAACTTGAGCCCCCAATTCATCCAAGTTCTGATTATTCAAACCCATGCCCATAGGCATAGAAATAGAGGCTCCGGCGGCCGCTAAGGCGGAGGCAGGCATGCTCCCGGTCCCCGTTGCCGCGATTATCGAGGGTTCCGCCTGCTGTAACAGCCACTGAATGGTTTCTCCGTCGGACTTGTGGCCCAGTTCTCGGGTCAACTGGAAGATTCTGGCGGCGCAGAGAGCAGGCATCCTAATCCTCCGCCCTCGGCCGTCCACTTTGGTGTGCCTGTCCCTATTGGAGCTTCTCTTTGGGAGGGCCAACTGCTGCTGCCTCTTGCCGCCCTCTTCTTTGTCGGCCACCATAATCTGAAAGTCTTTGACCTCTGCTACGGCTCTTTTACTATTCTCATCCACGTTGTTGTTGTTCGTATTGATCGCCTTGCTGTTCGACAACCTTTCATCTTCATCCAGCTGATTTGAGCCCTTGGGATCCATCAACGTGTATGCGTCTATTCTAGTCTAGGTCGTGTGTGTTTGTTTGCGCATCTTTTCCAGCCTTACAGTGACAGGTTTGATTGAAGAAGGTGAACTCTGAAGCACCCAAAAAGTCTTTTAGTAAAGTTTTCCCAATTTTGAACCCTACAGACAACAGTTCCACTATTTACAGGAGATTTCAGAGTTAAATGTTGAGTTTGAATAATCAGCTTGGTTGGCAAATTATGCTGTGACTCCTGTGAGCACGTGCGTACCATGTACGCACAAATTTATATCTATAATTTTTATATTATAAAAATTATGAATATAAATTTGTTTGCACCATACAAAGTGGGTACGTGCTCACAGCATAACGATTGAGCTTGGTTGGTGTGAGTGGTCTTGCACTACAATTAGGCCTGCTCGTGATCTAACCAAAATAAAAAAATGTTGAATTTGAATTTATCAAAATTAGGGCTACAAACGAGCCAACTTGATTGACCCTTAAAATTGAAACTCGAGCTTGATTTGATAATTTTTTATATAATTCAAGCTCGACTTGATCGGTTAGAGTGTTCGAGCTCGAGTCAGAGGTCGACTCGATTGGCTCGAATTTAGATCAAAATTTTGAGCTTGAGCTTGATCTCGAAATTAAGCTCGAGTTTGACCAGTCAAATTACATAACCAAAATAGCATACTCTAATGAATCGTAAAATGATAAAGAGTTAATTCCACGAGGTCCATTATTTTTGTGTCAATTTTAAATTTAATCATAGGCTATTATTTTTATCATTTAACATCCTAGTCTATTATTTTTGGACACTTTTAGTCATTCTTATGACTTTTCATATTTTTAATAAGGATATTTTTGTCTTTTCATATATTTCTTAGTGTTGGAATTTGATTTTCAATGGAAGATTGAAAGAAAAAGTGATATAATTTGATTATTTTACCATTGTTTTCTTTCTTAATTATATTACTCTTATTAATTTGTAGGGGCATATAGTCGTTATTCCTTACAATTCCAAATCTAACCAAATAATAGAATTAGTATTCCCCGTAATTCCTTTTCCACCAACCAAACAATAAAATTCATCTTCTTAATAATTATTTTTCTATGAAATTTCAATTCTACTTCCTTAGTTCCTTTAAAATATTTTCCCCGAACCAAACCGGCTCTTAATTCTCCATCATAAAACGTATCCTTCCATGATTAAGCTACGTTTTTCCGATTCTACAAACTTTCCGACTCCAAAGGACGCGACTCGACGTATCGCCGTAGCAAACCGCTGCCGTATTGAATCCAACGGATACAGTATTTAGTGATGTCAATGGAAATTGATGAATGTTAAAGATAACATCACCAGGGACGGGGTCAGTAATTTGCTTGAGTGGGGGCAAAACAGTACAGACGGATTCAGAAATTTTTTCAGTAAAGGCGAAACATTAAAAAAAAGAGATAATTTAAAAATAAATTAATTAATTACTTAAGAAATATAGTTGTAAATATTGTTAGATATAGACGAAAAATAAAACACATCGAAACTTTATAAAAATATTCATAACAAAATATGAAACATAATTAATAAATTGTAAAACTATGTTGATGTCAAAATTTGAATCATTGACCTCCCTATTGCCAAATTTATGCTTTACCACCTAATATAACTCACTCTTGTTAACATTTTATAGTTTTTTTTTTATTCTAATACTAAAACATGTACTATATATACATATATACATACAAAGACTACATATGGGGTGGAGGTGGGGTGAGGGGGGCAGCTGCCCCCCTTTAGCTCTGTCCCTGACTTAACCTGTAGGTTTAATTAAGTGGGGGGGAGGGGGGGGGCATATATTTTGAAGAAACAAAAAAATTTTAAAATTCTATATAATATTTAAAAAAAAAAATACATATATGATATTAAAAAAAAATTGGGGTTGGGGAGGGGGGCCAAGGCCCCCCTAGGCATGCACTTGCCTCCGTCCCAGAACATCACACATCAATCATATCAATTTGATTATCTTACTAGCACATACATTGGCTTATCAAATAGGCGGGGTGAAGATTTTAAGGAGATTTTACATATGTGATTAGGAAAAAGAAAATGGGATGAGAAAAAAAAATTAAATTCTGAAATTAAAAAAAAATTAGAATTACGCGCCCAAACGGGCCCATGCAGTGGCGCAACTCTCCCTCTTCACATGTGGGTCTCACCCTCTGCAAAATCCCAATTGAAGCATGTGCTCCATCTCAACTAAAAATCTAAGCTGATAGTTGGATTGCACATTAATGACTATATGCTCAACACGCCCCCTCACGTGTGCGGTGGGTTCCAAGCAACACGTGGACCGAGCATCTTTGGTCTGGCTGTGATACCAAATTGAAGCATATGCTCCATCTCAACTAAAAACCTAAGCTGATAGTTGGATTGCACATTAATGGCTATATGCTCAACAATCCCCATTTTTGTAGGACAACCCCATCCCCTCTCTCTCATCTCTCCTCCATTTTGTCATTTTTTCCTCAAAACTTGTGCACAACTCCCTTATTGGGATTCCTCTAAAGAGCATGGTTGAGCAATAGCACGCAAAGTAGTAGTGGGCGTTTCGAGATTTTGTTCAATTTTTTTCGATTTCGATATTTAAAAAATGATACCATTCAGTTTAACATTATAGTTTGGTTCGGTTTTAAAAAATAATAATAATTTCGGTTCAGATTAGTTCGGTTTTGGTATTCGGTTCAATTTAAGAACCCAATTTTTAACATTTCCTAATTTTCCAAAAACACTACTAAACAATACATATTCACATAGTCTAAATTCAAAGTCTAAACATTATATAACAAAATAGCAATCCAAAGTTAAAACACACTACTAAGTACTAAGTACTAAGTACTAATTACCAAACATCAATTGGTTTTTTTGCTCAATCGACTCCTCAGTTGGATCACTTGGAATGTTTTGTTGACAAGATGAAGAATCATCCATCTGTATAGTTAATATTTGGAGAACAAGTGTCAAATACTGTATAATTAATTTTTAGACACAATCCGTCATTGATTGACAAAATATATTTCCAGTGCGCTGAAATATTATTTTCCAGTGGACTAGAAATATATTAAGCACTTGGAAAAATATTTTCAAGAACTAGAAATCAAAATTAGAATGATGTTGAAGCACATTAATTTCATAGAAACATGAAACTAAAGAAAATACTGAATATTGTAATAATAACTCAAGTTAGAGATAATTGTGAGGCAAAGAACAATTGTGGCTGCAAAGTAGCTAGAGAACAAGCCATAAAGAAATCAAATAAAACATTTAAGAAAGATACCAGTGAGAATATAAGCTTAACGGCGGAGCAAACAGCAAGAGACTTGGATTATTATTATTATTATTATTATTATTATTATTATTATTATTATTATTATTATTATTATTATAAAAAATTGTATTAGATACAATTTTTTACCAAACCGTTCAATATACAATAATCTATTACCGGTTGGTATATTACCGAACCGAACTAGTTTTGTTTGGTTCGGTGAAAATCAAACTGAATTGCCCACCCCTAATGCAAAGGCTATATTCACTTAAATATGGACACTTTGTATTAACTAAAAACTTGTATGAGATATGTGAAGTAATAAATTGAGGAATATATTTAATAGATTCAAATAATACAAGAAACCTATTCTCAGCCAACTACACTATGTAGTGTAATGACACTTCTATTATCACTCTATTATCACTCTAAATGGGTAGTCACAAGACCAAATCTTGCTGGTAACTCCTCTAATTAATGTGTTTCAATATGTAGAGCCTTCTACACTAAATATTTGGGTACTACGTATTGTTTATCGTTTTTCCATGAAATCAAATTACCTCCAATAAGAATCCAATATCCATATGTGAAGCTTCTATCAAACAGGGAACTTGTCTAATCAGCATGAGTATCCAATGATTCGAGTATGGCTTTTATCTTCATAAATTAACCCTTGGCCTAGTGTAACATAAATCAAGCCTTTGACATTGTGTTTTCTTGATATATCTCAAAACTTAGATAGCAACATAGCAACATCCTAATGATTAGCATATCTCGAGTTGGGATGTCTTCATTGTGTTGTCGATAATCACTATGTCATCTACATATACTACAAGGTAGATACATTTTTTGTCCATCGAGTATTGATAAAACACATAACAGCTAATTTCACTTTGAATCATTCCAAATTAACTAATAACTGAGTTGAAATGACCAAACCATGCTCTTGGGAGCTGCTTTGAACCATATAGAGATCTTTGAAGTTTACAAACCAAGTTAGACTCCCCCGGAGCAACAAATAATGGAGATTGCTCCATATAAACTTCTTCATTGAGATCTCCATGTAAGAAAGTACTTTTAATGTCTAACTGGTATAGAGGCCAATGACTAATGACTATCATAGATATTAGCAATCTAACATATGCAATTTTAACAACATAGGAAAAGGTCTACCTATGTTTGTAGACAAGAGTAGAAACATAAAACTAAAGAATAAATTTATAAAGTAATGTTGAAGAGTTCTGGAGTTCTTCTCCCCCAAATGTCATGTCATTAGCCAAAGAATTCTCAATGCCTCCACAACAAGCCTACAGTGGCTTTTATATATGCATGAAAGTAACGTTAAGAAATCTAAAAAATAGGAAGACTAAGTTATTTGAGTAAGTCTTCATCTCCTTCATCTACTTCATTCTCAGTTCATCAACTGCATTCCCCATCAAATACACACTGCCTAGCATGCTTTCTCATCAGCTACAATTCTACAAAAATCCCATCAGTGAAATTTATGTAATTATTCATTAAACATAACAGATTGAACAATGCATTTAGTTTTTTTCAAACTGATAATGGATAAATTGGAGTAGATAATAAAATTATCCACTATTCATGACTATAGGCTTTGCCAGACCAGCCAATATCTAGAAACCATGTTTATTTGGAAGAGAAAAAAGTATCTCCAAAAGTATAACAATTCCAATGGCTGAATTTAAATGCTCTTCTTCATGCCTCTGGCAAAACAATCATCCAAGAAAGGAAGGTTCATTTCGTCATCCTTAGGAAGAACATAATCCCCGCCCGCCCAGGGATTATCACTCCATCACTGCAATTCCTCCAGCAGCTTTGATCTTTTCGATTATCTCATTTGCCTCCTCTTTGGTGACCCCTTGCTTAAGAGTTGCGGGTACCTTTTCTACTAGATCCTTGGCTTCCTTCAATCCCAAACTCGTAAAACCACGTACCTCCTTGATCACCTTGATTTTTGCAGCTGCATCGAATTTCTCTAGCTTAACATCAAAGACTGTTTTTTCAGCCTTCTTCTCCTCGGTCTTTGATGCTCCAGCTCCAGCTCCAGCAGCACCAAAATCCATGCCTTCTACCGAAATAGGTTTCAGCATGGGATGCTTCAGTCTCTCTCTAAGTACAGGGCCAATTTGTCTGCGCTCCTCAGGTGTGAGACCAGCAATCCGTTCCACAAGCTGAATGATCTTATCGGAAGGCGGGGGTCTAGGGCCATATGGATCATACACAGCAGGGTATTTGTATCTTCTAGGCCCCGCATTTGGATCTCTTGGAACAAAATCAGGTTGGAAGGAGCGAGATTGCAAAGGTCCTGTTATTCCGCGAAGAGCCATGGAGGATCGAAAAGTTGCAAGAAGCTTCATGGCTTGTGGATTAAGGGAGACAATGAATTACAAGAGATAGTTCATTTACTTGGAAGGAATTATTTGATTTTGCAGCTCTTATCAAGCTGTTAAGAAGCAAAAATGAAATGTTTAGTCAGCCACATCCACAAGTAGGGCATCATTAACTAGCATAACAAAGATGAAGCTCTACACTATGTGTACTGGAGATTAGAGATAATTGTTGATCATTAACACAACAATAGGATTACAGAGTTTATCTAATAACAACCCTCTAACTAATCTGACTAGTAGTCTATCTATTCTAAACACCACACATATTACAACCATATAATATAACAATAATGTAACAATAATAATAATACTAACACTGGAAGAGATCCAACAGTAAAGATCAGAAATCCAGAGGGAAAAAAACAAAAACAAAAAAAATTTCAAAAAAAATTTGTCTGAATTTACTAAGAGCTTTTAGTCAAAGTTCAAGGAATCATACAGGCCCAATCCCACTATATACAGATACAGAGCTACTCAAGATAAAAATTCAAACACTGATATACAAAACACATAAAATTACTCATTAATATAATATTGATATCAACATTTTTTTTATCATAATATAGAAAAATAGTAAATTAAAATATATAAAATATTCCTAAGTACCTTCTTCCCGGAGTGTCGGAAGGACGGCAGCGACAGGCGTGGCGAGGCTGGTTGTTGGCGGCGGACGGGAAGGTGAGGCAACGTAGTCGCTGGCGACGCTAGGAGAGGCTGTCGGCGGCCGGTGACGCTGGTAGACGGAGGCTGAGCCGCTGAGATTTCAGAAATGATAATGGTGGATTGCACCCATGGCGAAGGGCCTGTTGCAGTCTGCGACTCTATGTCCAGGCTCTGTACTTCTTAGTTTTACACGTTTAAGAACTAGGGTTTAGGAATTTATGTTACAGTATAAAAAAAATTAAGTCCTTTAGGTGATTAAAATTTAGGATTTAACAAAAAGTTTTGCATCTGCCTCAACATCAAGTATCTCACTTAATCTCAAAACTCTTCTTTTCAATAATTTAAATTTTACAAATTTTTTAGTTATTTTTATCTAAATTATATTTTAATTATTTCTTTATTTATTACTCGGTATAATTTTAAATTTGTAATTGTAATTAAATTGGTTTTTTAAATAAACATACCAACATTTAATTTAATTGATAATTATTATAAAATTAAAATTAAACTACTATTTGTTTAAAATTAAAACGTATTACACTGTTGTTAAAAAAAAATAATTAAAGTGCATAAAAAATTTTAGATACATATATTTAAATTAATTGTCGTTGTTGTTATATATATGTTCAACCTAATCTACGCGAAGTTAATGATGCAATTGGGAGTCATGTAAGTCGAAATTTCTTTGTAAATGTGATTGAAACTCTTGAGTTGAGCCTTGTGACGCTTATATTGTTGATCCAATTTCTTTGTCTACCCAATTAAATACGCCGTCACATTCATCCTCAACAATCATGTTGTGTAAAATTATACAAGTACTACTACTAACGTATACTTCTTCCCGTGTATGTTTGGGGGATTTATTTTTTACAGGAAGGAAGGGCAAAGCTCCGGGAAACAAAAAGCAAAATTCAAAATCAGTCTCCGCGGATATGGGGAGCCCCGATGGAATCCTTGAGATCGCATGCCGCGAGGTCGGCGTTTGGGCAAAAATAAAGCAAGGTCAAATTGAGATCACGACCATAGTTCTTCGCCAGTCAATCTGTCACTTAATTTTGTTCACACAAAATATGACGACACTTGACATTCCAACCCTTTTTAATCCAAGATTTGCAATTTTGCACTCCAAATAGATCTTGTTTGAGGGATTTATTAATCCAAATAGATCTATGTGCATTAAACTCAACGACCTTGTTGTTTATGGATATGGCTTAGCTTTGAATGTGAAGTGACCCTACTTCCCTTTCTGATATGCATAGTATAAGCCTTTCTTTTCATAGCAGACATCCAGTAAACTTTCTACCAAACCATTCCTTGTAAGCTTATTGACCGTTTTGAAATTAAGATAACTCATTTTCTTATGCCAAAACTAACTTACTTCCTTAGATCCTTTATTGATTAAGCATATCTCAACATCTTTCATACTCCAATCCACAAGATAAACACTCTTACATTGCACATCAATTTGCTAAATTCAACCGTATATCATTATCAAAGAATTAACTTGTGCTCAACATGTTGAACTTCAAACCCTTATCATAAGTAACTTCTATGATCTTGAACCTTTTTTTTTTTTTTTCTTTACAGTCTCATCTCCCTTGATTCGTCTAAGTTTGTTATTTCAACAAAATGGCCTTGGGTCCATCAAGAACCCTTCCTCGCATGAGAAAATATCTAAGTCGTAAAAATTAAGAGATCAATGGTTACGATTAATGAATGTGTTCACAATTTGAACGAGGCCTACCAGGTAAATATGCAAGATTTGAACCTCAGATCTCTAAGATAAAATACAATAAACACATGAATCTACCATTCCTCCATGAAATCTTTTAAGATTAATTGCAATTTTTTTGTCTTTAATTTCTTAACTAGTTAGGTAAAAATTAAATATTAAGCCCTCTAAAATTTGAGACCATGTGCTCTTGCACAGTTGCTTCTTCTACCCGAACCGAGGAATCCCTTAGATATGATGCAAAACGGATCTTGCACAGTCCAAAATCTGGCCCTGCATGCACACCCATTGCACATGATGCCCAATTTAGTGTACACTACAATCAAAATATATACTTGGATTATTGAGGAGACACGGCTTCGAATCCATTCTAAGATGTTTCCTTTCAAAAAAAATGTGGACACTGAAATAGAAGCGCAAACACAATCTTGGAATGCACATAACACTACAATGCAGTGCACACATACCGCATACCTTAGCCCCAGATGCACACATTTAAATACGCACAAAAATCTATACTAGAATGCACACTGATGGAATATGAAATGAATAGTATGGAATTAGAAGTACACAATCCTACAAAAAATATACCTCCTAAAATCATGCATAACATCCACAGATAATAATATTCGAATTCTAAATGCACACAAATTACTAATTCACCCAAGCTGTGGCTAGTGAGACTCGATCCCTGGTCATTCTTCCAAACTTTCACCCCCACACTGTGAGGGGTGAGACTCGATCCCTGGTCATTCTTCCAAACTTTCACCTCTATGATCAGTTAAGCTACCCATGCAGGCAGATCTAAAGAATTCATGACCATACACAAACATGTGATCAAAGGTTCAAATTAGTCCCTAATTCTCATGTGGGGAGGGATTCTCATATGATCCTCAATACATAATATATATATACCCCCGTCTCTAGCTAGGCGAAGACAAAGAGCAGGCCATGACAACCAAGATTTTGTTTTTAAAAATATTTTAATTTTTGTAATGTTAGATATCCCTTCTAAAAATTTTCCTCCTAATTTTTCCTCTTGATGTGATATCACCTAATTTTTTTTTTTTTTTGAATGCGTGATATCACCTAATTGAATTATTTAGTATTTAATTAAAAGTATGTGGAGTCACTCAATTCATGGCATCCAATGAATATAAGCCACATCATGAAAAAAAATATTAAAAAAAATTTAGGAGGGATACATAGCATTTTAATAATAATAATAATAATAATAATAATAATAATAATAATAATAATATTATTATTATTATTATTATTATTATTATTATTATTATTATTATTATTATTATTATTATTATTATTATTATTATTATTATTATTATTATTATTATTATGTTGTCAATTGGGAATTCAAGTTAGCAAAAATATAATGATGTGGCATTCCGTTCATCTTTAACTTGAAATTTACCAACAATAATATGTCAAAATGAACTAATTGCACTTTTTTTCATAAGTTTATGTGTTTAATTGGATCCTTTTTTTTTTTAGTTAAAGGGTGTAATTCTTTTCTAATATTATGAAGGCTTATTTGACCAATTGACCTTTACCCCTGTTTATGTGTTTAATTGGATCCTTTCTTTTTTAGTTAAAGGGTGTAATTACACTTTTCTAATATTATGGAGGCTTATTTGACCAATTGACCTTTACCCCTAACATCAATAATCTAAAAACATAATAAGTGCGAATGAAAGTTATACCCCTGATTTATGTCCGTTTTTTTCGTTAAGTTTTTTTGTACATTATGCTATAAAGGTTGTACATTAAAATATTTTGAACAAACATACTCCTACCGTTATAACTTTCGTTATCTTTTACACTATTGTTACCATGCACATGCATCCACCATATATTTTCTTATCTTCTTCATTAATAATAATATATACACATTATATATTTGAGTTATATGTTAATTATTACATAAAATATAAATATCAAATTTATAAAAATGATTTACATTATTATTATTATTTAGAATAATTTAAATATCTAAAATCTAAATAAATTTAAAATTTTAATATAATGTATTAATATTGGGCACCTATTTTTTGCGTATCGCGCATAAAAAAATACTAGTTAAAATTATAATTGGGAAAAATAATCAAAATTATAATAAAGTTAAATTATTTGTAATCAATATGATTATTAGATCGATATGATGTTTTCTCATCCCCCCCCCCCCCCCCCCCCCCCCCCCCCTATTCATTCCAAGCGACTAATTTGCAATCATTCAACATAATTTTTATCCAAATACATAAATAAGTAATACAACATATGTTTTAGTGGTAACTCTCCAGTGATACTATTTCATAAATCTTTATCCGTAAAACATATTCAAATGTAATACTTATACTAAAAAAGGAAAAAAAAAAACAGAAATACGGTGTTAGTTACTTATTAGGGAAAGTATAATACATTAGAGAAAAAATGTAATATTTTAAAATCAAAATGTAAAAGTATTACACTTTCTCTTATTGCACTTTTCGATATAAGTATTATTTTTCCGGTATAAATTTTACATTTTCATCTTTGCCTATTGTGATTGATTATTTGTTGGATTAGGAGTCACGTAATTCAACAGTTAACTAATCACAGATATTTCATATTTAGATTGAGAGTTACTCAACCATTTTCCTTGTACTAGGTAAGAGAAAATGTGGGAAATGAAGAAAGATTATTATGCGAGAAGTGGAGGGTCCTTTGGGCTAAATGATTTTGTAGTTATTATTGGGAGGGGAAAGACGGCAAAGGAGGATGATTATGATGAGCAGCAGGCCAGCGGGTAGAAACAATCATTTCAAAGCCAGGCGATAGTGGGAAGATTGTTGAGTTGGTTGAATTTTCTTGCTTTAATTTGAAGACAAGATACATGATTGAATGAAATAGAATAGGCCACTCGCCAACTTTTTCAAACTCTTCATCACACCGCCCAGTACACTCTACTTGAAGGAACCTAATAACCATTCCATTTGCTAAACAACACAACACAAACTCTTACAATCTCTCCTCTTCTCATCTGCACCAAAGTGAGAGAGATAGAGAGAGTGCATGCGTGTGCACATTCCATTCCATGGCAACCCTCCGGCTGCTGCTCACCTACTTCATCCTCTCTGCATCTTTTCACTTCATATTCGCCGAGACGGACTCTCGGGATGGTACTCTTACTATATCTTCAACACCTATAGATGTAATTGTATTTGAGTAGATTTGAGATTTGTCACATCTTCTGGTGTGACGAGAGAAACCCGCAACCACTACCTGATGGTGTGCATTGGGTAAATTCTGTCTTGTGACCCTAGTCAGCAAAGGGCCACAATGGGGTAAACCAGTATAGGTTGTCCATAGCTGACCGGCTCAAACCAAGAAGGCTTGGATTCGAACTCGTGACCTTGTGGTTACAAATTTGTATCCTTAGCCATCTTGGCTAAGGTAAACCAGCCTATGTTGTCCATATTTGTCACATCTTGATTGGTAAAGTTGTGGTAAACCCTCTTTCTGCATTGCCATTTCAGGATAATAACTGATTTTCAAGACAGTCCTGACCTATACTCTGATATTTAAATACTACCATTTCTGCTTCCTTAGAGTTTAACTTAGCAGCATAGCACTTTCTTTTTCTGCATATATATTGCCATTCTTGTAGCTTCATAGAACTATGAAATCTCCCTTTAATTTTTAACCAAGTAACACACTCAAGTGCAGTAGCTGTGCTCACCTCTCTGAAAGACCAGTGGCAAAACACGCCTCCAAGTTGGGACGACTCCGATGATCCTTGTGGAGGATCCTGGGAAGGAGTATCCTGCAACAACTCCAGGGTCACTGCACTGTAAGTACTGTACTGTTGAGTCATCATTTCAGATCTTTTGCACAAAAATTTTGAGTGGATTTGTTCACTAATTGCATTTTCAGGGGACTGTCAACTATGGGCTTGAAAGGAAAACTAAATGGTGATATTGGGGGTCTTACTGAATTAATATCCTTGTGAGTTTTCTCTTCTTTGGAGCAGTTTTTACTCCAATAAAGCACAACTGCACAAGTTTGCCAAGCAATAACCTCCTGTTTGTTGTGAACTTGATTGTTCTGCAGAGACCTGTCATTTAACCGAGGCCTCACAGGCTCCATTTCTCCAAGGATTGGAGATCTGCAGAAACTAAGCATACTGTAAGATCCAAATTAAACTCGGAACTGATCTTGATGATCAACTCTATTCCTGATTAAGAGTAATGGGTGTGTTTTCTTTTCAGAATTCTTGCTGGGTGTAGCTTTAGTGGCAGTGTACCTGCTGAACTGGGGAAACTTTCAGAATTATCCTTCTTGTAAGAACATGAAAAACTTTGAGAAATAGGTTGATTGATAGCAGTAGTTGTTTTGCAAGTTGCAACTATCACCTGTCAACTAATTCAATGTTGGTTCCTCGATAGAGCACTCAACTCAAATAACTTCACGGGTGAAATTCCAGCAACTCTGGGTAATCTCTCCAAACTCTACTGGCTTGACCTGGCAGATAATCAGTTGACAGGATCTCTCCCCGTTTCAACAGCGAAAGATCCTGGACTGGATCGTCTGAAAAAGGCAAAACACTTGTGAGTGAACTATTCTATTTCAAGCCTCGCCATTGGTTTTCTATGTTTATTTTTCCCAGCAAGAGTCTGATTTTCAAAGCTTCACAGCCATTTCAACAAAAACCAGCTTTCAGGCACAATTCCCGCCAACCTGTTTAGCGCTGACATGGTGCTCATACATGTGTAAGTTAGTCAAGAAAGAATATATGTTGTCTAACCTTGGGTGGCCTTCTCTGATAATCTATGATTCTGAAATGGCAGACTATTCGATGGAAATCAATTTAGCGGGAGTATACCATCTACAATAGGACAAGTTCAGACACTTGAGGTTCTGTGAGTACATCAACCATCAAAACTTCACCTGCAGTTTCATACCTATGCTCCCGGTTTCTTAGCTTTTGTTTGATTTGTATTCATGTAACTTCAAATGCAGCCGGCTTGATAGAAACCTCCTTAATGGTAGTGTCCCTTCAAATCTTAACAATCTGACAAGCATGATAGAATTGTGAGTACCTTTAATTCTCCATCCAAAAAACAGAAAGACTGTTTCTTGGCCTAAATACCCATTGTTCTTATATTTCTTTCCCCCTGCAGGAACTTAGCACATAACACACTCTCTGGCCGACTTCCAGACCTGAATGGAATGAGCTCGCTTAATTATTTGTAAGTATTGGAATTTCCATATTCTCGTTTTCCCAACTCAAATCTAGATTTTCAGATATCTGAAACGTTGTTTCTCTTCACAGGGATTTGAGCAACAATTCCTTCAGGCAGTCAGAAGCTCCAGATTGGTTCTCATCTTTACAGTCACTCACCACTCTGTCAGTACTAGCAATGTCATGAATTTAGACTGAATTCTTCAATTCCTTCTTTGTATCGATTTCAAGTGACAAGTATACATGGTCTACTGCTCAGGGTGATTGAATATGGCTCACTTCAAGGACCAGTGCCACAGAAACTCTTCGGTTTCCCCCAGATTCAACAAGTGTAAGTCCAGTAAGCTACACAAGAGAGGAAACTTGGTTAGTTTTTTCACAAAAAAAGAAATAAGAGAAATGCCTCAAAACCTTTTGACAGGAAGCTGCGGAACAATGCTTTTAATGATACTTTGAATATGGGCAGCAGCATAGGCCAGCAATTACAACTTGTGGATTTCCAGGACAATGAGATATCAGCTGTAACACTTGGCTCGGGATACAAAAATACATTGATGTAAGGGAATTCAACCTTCAATCAATCAATCATTTTGATGAGAACTATTACCTCTCTGATTGCTCGTTCTATTTCATTCTTCAGATTGATAGGAAACCCAGTTTGCACCTCGTCATTAGCTAACACCGATTACTGCCACCTTCAGCAACAAGCTACAAAGCCGTACTCTACCAGCCTGGCAAACTGTGGAAGCAAATCCTGTCCCTCTGATAAAAAACTCAGCCCGCAAAGTTGTGACTGCGCTTATCCATACGAGGGAACATTTTACTTCAGAGGACCCTCCTTCAGGGAGTTGTCCAATGTTGAACTGTTCCACTCTCTTGAAATGAGTCTCTGGGTAAAACTAGGACTCACCCCCGGTTCAGTTTCTCTGCAGAACCCCTTCTTCAACATTGATGACTATCTTCAGGTGCAGTTGGAACTCTTTCCATCCACAGGAATGTATTTTAATAGATCAGAGGTTCAGAGGATTGGATTCTCCTTAAGTAATCAGACATATAAGCCACCTCCACAATTTGGACCTTACTATTTCATTGCATCTCCTTACACTTTTCCAGGTATAAAACAATGAGTCAAAAGTGTGTTACAAATATGAAGTCTTATGAAAAGAAAATCTGACTAAAAATTTGGGTATTTCAGCTGAGCATGCAGGAACTTCCATAAGCTCAAGGGTGATTATTGGAATAGCTGTTGGTTGTTCCTTTTTAGTCCTATTGCTTGTTGGCCTGGGGATTTATGCAGTTCAGCAAAAGAAACGTGCTGAAAGAGCTATTGGAATGAGCAGACCTTTTGGTAACTCTTATTCTCTCTATTGAAAAAGCCCATAATGGACATTGTGTTAATCTTGGGGTTTGACTTGGCTGCTTGATATTTTGTATCCAGGATCTTGGGCTCCAAGTGGCAAAGACAGCGGGGGCGTGCCCCAACTGAAAGGGGCCAGATGGTTCTCTTATGATGAACTCAAGAAATGTACAAACAACTTTTCAGAAAGCAACGAGGTCGGTTCTGGAGGATATGGCAAGGTATGTATGATGTTGCAGTTTATAAGGAAGGCAACAACTTGTCGGATTTAGAGTTTATCTATCTATAATATAATCTCCTCTGATGCCTAGGTCTATAGAGGATTGCTCTCAACTGGGCAAGTGGTGGCCATCAAAAGAGCTCAACAAGGATCAATGCAAGGAGGAATGGAGTTCAAAACTGAAATTGAATTGCTTTCACGTGTCCATCACAAGAACCTCGTTGGCCTTGTGGGGTTTTGCTTTGAACAAGGAGAACAAATGTTGGTATACGAGTTTATGTCAAATGGAAGCTTAAGGGAAAGTTTGTCAGGTAAGCTAAAATGTATTCTCTTAAAGAAAGAAAGAAAGAAATGCTAATGGAATATATTGACTTACATGACAGGAAGAACGAGCATTTATCTTGATTGGAAGAGGAGACTCAGAATTGCTCTTGGTTCAGCCAGAGGATTAGCTTATCTACATGACTTAGCCAATCCCCCTATTATTCATAGAGATGTGAAATCCACTAATATTCTACTGGATGAAAATTTAACAGCAAAGGTTTCGGATTTTGGCTTGTCCAAGCTTGTAAGCGATTGCACGAAAGGTCATGTATCAACTCAAGTTAAAGGCACGTTGGTGAGTAGTACTAAACTAAAATAAAAGGTGTGAGCATTCATTTTACACGTACCTCTCAATCTTCTCTTGCGTGACTTCCTAAACTTCGATTGCAGGGTTATCTGGATCCCGAATACTATATGACTCAACAGTTAACCGAGAAAAGTGATGTGTACAGCTTTGGTGTTGTCATGCTTGAACTGATCACTGCCAAGCAACCAATTGAAAAGGGCAAGTACATTGTCCGGGAGGTGAGAACGATGATGAATAAGGACGATGAGGAACATTTCGGATTAAGAAATATGATGGATCCTAGCATTAGAAACACAACCACAAACCTTTCAGGGTTCGGGAAGTTCGTAGAGTTGGCAATGCAATGTGTGGAAGAATCAGCTGCTGACCGGCCAACAATGAGCGAGGCGGTGAAGGCACTCGAAACCATCCTACAAAACGATGGGCTAAATACTAACTCCACATCCGCGTCTTCCTCAGCCACGGACTTTGGATCCTCTAAAGCTGCTCTCGCACACCCTTATTATCACCATGATGCTTTACCAAGAAAGGAGATTCATGACAGTGGTGATGCCTTCGACTACAGCGGGGGTTTCACACTTTCAGCAAAAGTCGAACCCAAATGATGATCCTAGCCCAGATGTTCTTCATTCCCTTCTTTTTATGTTCTTTAATTTATTCTTCCACAACTTGTGTCAATCCTTACAAGACAGCTATATTTAGTGCCTTTATGGGACTTCAGTTGTCTAGGTTGTTGGGAAGAACTACAACAGCTTGTCCTGATAAAGATGAATATATCAATTAGGGTTGATGATATATATGCTTTCTTACAAGTGTATGCATATAGGATCAAATTATGTATAGATCTGAGGTTCCAATCAACTCGTAGTAGAATGCAGCTTACTTATACTTGTATTCAAATGGGTTTCCCAGGAAAAGTTGACTAATCCAGGTTTGCAACTTATTACATCTTAATTCCAAATATGTAACTAGTGAGAATGTCAAAACCTTTCATACTCAATTAGTTACCCGTATCCTTCAAAGACATCCGATAAAATTGGAATGATATGCAGAAGATTAGCATAGCCCCTGCAAAAGGAAGACGTACAAATCGAGATTTGGTAAATTACACTTAAAAAACATCAATAGGGCAAAATTTCATACAAAAAATTTAAAGAATATAGCATTCTCCAAATTAAATGCTATATTTAATATGCTGCACACTCTGTATTGTGAAGAAATATGTCCCCCTAAAGCCAAGAAAAAATTACAAAGCATTAATTTTGTTTCTTTCATAATGAGCAATTCCGCCAAAAAGCTAGAAACCTGTCAATTGGTAGGACAACTGACAAATCAATTTGGTGAAGCCTTCATTTTATTATGACACTCGTGCATTAGCTAATGAACTGCAGACCACTACACCCGCTGGTGCTCGCATATAATATGAACCAAGCGTAGCAACACAAGTGTCATTGGTTTTGAGATGTGGTTGCACTAATTCCCAAACCTTTTTCTTCTGAACCTGCAGAGGAATGAATTGTGACAAGTGTAAGCATAATTTGAATACAAGCATTTCTGGCACAGATGAGGCTAGTTGCACTCAATTTAGTGCAGCTTCTCCATGAGATAGCAACAGCTGATTGGCATCAACTAAAAAGCTGATGTCTATCAATGGATTCAATGCCAATCAGATGTTGTCACCTCATGAAGTGATTGAGTGCAACTATCATTATCCTGCTGACACAACTCACAAGTACCAATCAGTTGCAAAATCGAAAGCTACAGACTTGGAACCACGATGCATGAGGAAAGAAAATGTTGCAGCCATAAAAACCAACCTCCTATGCAATATGCAAACACATCGGCTTGAAAACTAGCCAAAAAAGTAAAAGCTTTCACAGATAATATGTGCAGATAAGGAACCTTTGTAGAGGGCATTTTCATTGTTGCTAAAGAGTTATTACACTACAGCAAAACAGAAATAAATATTTCATTAAACAACCTGTTTTACTTGATAGTTAGGCTCTAAGAGAAACTTGTGTACTTTATAAGACCAAATTATTTTCGTTCTTATCAAGGTGCAGAGTTGCAACAAGTAAAATGTATATTTCCAGTAAGAGAAAATATGCCAAATCCACTGTCAATGGAGACCCCCCACCCCTTACAATTGATCAATTTATCAAAGAACTTTTCTAAGTCATTCTCTGCAGGGATGCTCAAGAGACAACATATCACTAGGATCCTTGGCCAAAATAACAGAGAGGAGGAATGCTAGACAAAGAGAATGGGAGGCAAAATGGAGGAGTATATGTGTAGAAGGTTTTTGGAAAGGAGAAAATGCGGGGGTTCTGCAGAGATTTCATTGAGATTCTAAGCAAAACTAACGCTCCCTAACTTTGTTGAATTTGGAAGATGGAATGGCCTGGCGGGTGGAGAATAATACCACCCGCCAGTTAGGCGGAAGCAATATGAAGAATCAAGACTAGGAAATGAATATAAAACTGAAATTATATTGGTATTCTCTCTGTTTCTAATACAGAAACACAGTACATATATATACACAAATACATAACTGTAAGTAACTACCCATAACTGACACCTATTCATAAACAGACACAACCCTATAGATAAACCTAACTCTTTAGTTTTCAACACTCCCCCTCAAGCTGGAACATCTAGAAGTTCCAAGCTTGGATTAAAACATACACTCTACATTACAAATGAAGATTAAAAGTAGCTAGAGAATAACAGTGTTGGATGGCTTCGGAGGAACAATGCTATAAACAACCCTTGGGAATGAAGGCACCAGGGCGAAGCTAGTCACAAATAACCTTGGGAATGAAGTCACCAAGGGCGAAGATTAACACGAACACCCTCACAGCAACATAAGCATTCTAGGATTTGCCAATCAACAATCTCCATCAAGAACGGCAGAGCAACCAAATCATGAGCAGCAAAGGGGATGTAGTAGAGCCCATAGATTGTTGTATGAATACCGAGAAAACCACATGATTGTTGTTTATACCTCTTATAGGATAAGTGAATAACAAAAGAAGCTTCCGGAAATAAACAAGGTGCCAAACATGAAAACCCTAGGGACTAAGTATGGTATACCGAATATAAAGAAACAAATACGGTTATACCAAAAACACCCCGGAAAGAGGTTTGGCAACCAACCCAAAAAGCCTTCAAACTTCACCAAAAGGTCCAAGGGCAAAACAACAATCTGGAATTTTCACCGGAGAATACATCACAAGGAAAAATACAATTTTGATGTTTGAAATACCCTAGGAAAGTAGGCTCTGATACCATGTTGAATTTGGAAGATGGAATGGCCTGGCGGGTGGAGAATAATACCACCCGCCAGTTAGGCGGAAGCAATATGAAGAATCAAGACTAGGAAATGAATATAAAACTGAAATTATATTGGTATTCTCTCTGTTTCTAATACAGAAACACAGTACATATATATACACAAATACATAACTGTAAGTAACTACCCATAACTGACACCTATTCATAAACAGACACAACCCTATAGATAAACCAAACTCTTTAGTTTTCAACAAACTTCTGCTAATTGCCTAATTAGAAGATATGTAGAGAATGTAGTGATGCTTACTGATACGGACGAGAAGTATGATCGCACTATAAGGAAGTTGAGGGGATCTAAAAATATTCTTGGTAACTAGTATGGCCGCTTAAGGGCATGAAACCTAGGCAATTAAACTTCAAGTAAATAACAGTGGGTATGGCCAAAATTCTAAGAGGGGAAGTCTAGAAGAGAATTTAGCAACCCAGAAAATGTGATGGTAGCCACACAAAGTTGTGTTGAAAGGTTTCTATTCTTTAATCCATTGGTTGTTGAAATTTGAACTTGAGAGCTCCAGAAGGGTTTTCTTCTTCGTTTTTTATTTTCTCTTTCTTTCTTTCTTTAAATATTTAATTATTTTAATAAGTGACTTTTATTCACTAAATGAAAGCACCCAAAAGGTGTTTGACAATACTTAAATGGATTTATTGAAAAGGAGTGAGTTTCACTGCCTAACTAGGATAAGGAATGTTAATTTGTTATATAGCACCATTTTATGATGGGTTTCCTTATAGGCAAATGGAGAATATCTATCTCATAAGAGACTTTTCAAGAGGGTGCTCTTTCCTCCAATACCATATTTAGCAAGTGTTGGAGGAGGAGCAACATTACCAAGATATCAGGTCTTGATGCAACCAATCATAGGCGAAAATAATGTGAAATTGCTCAAAAGTGTGAGAAGCTCTGTCTACTCTCTTTGAATTTATATATAAGCCTATGACAGCCTTCACCAGCTAAGGAGAAGCATACACTACTGATTTTTCATAACCATTATTTAGCCATTGCAACCAAAATTCACATTTTACATTGAGATAGTACCTGATTTGGTGTTGCAGCCTCAGGTAATTTGTCATTCTCATCATCCAAACCAAACCATACCCTTTCACCAGGAACTGAACCCTCAGGTGGCAGGAGGAGCTCAACATTCTGGTGCGACTCATCAGAAGCAGCCATCAGCATCCCACAGGATTTGACACCACGCATATTTCTTGGCTTCAAATTAGCAAGGACAATGACATGCCTGTCCTGCATGAGTTAGAATTTAAATCATGAACTAAGTGAAAAGACCACAGTTCAAATAGGAATGAGACCAAAAAAATGAGGAAATAGAACAGCAGGGGATTTCGGAGATGACAATAATTGGGGGTGTTTGATAAATAGCAAGTGGTTGATAGCTGGTAGCTGATTGGGTTAGTGAGTTTGATTACTTGATAGTATTGGCTGATTGTAGAAAGATGTTCGGTAAATTAGCTTTTAGCTGATTATATGTAAAATGACTTTCTCAAAAAATTAATTGAAGTTACTTTGAATTTTAACCTTTTGGAGCAATAAATTGTTAACAAAAACTAATTAATCAAACACTTATATGATCAAACAAGTCAAAATTGATTGATAGGCTAACTATAGGTATCTGTCAATTTCATAAGTGATATCCAAATAGCTAATCCTGTCAAACTATTTATTTAAAAAATTAGAAAAAAAAATGACGAATGAAGAATCAAAGACCTGAAGATGTTGGAGGGGGACATAATTAACAAGGCCGCTGCAGATGATTCTGGGTTGGGGCTCGCCAATATCGACCTCTTCAACATAGAGCGAATCAGCCTCGTCGTGTTTCCAGGCCCTGAGGATTTTCCCAACCCTAATGTCCAGGGTGTTGGCAGCGTCCTTTATCTCCAGCATCGGCTGATTAGCAGGCGAAGAATCTACCGATCTAGAAGCAGAGGCGGCGGAGTTATCATCCTCCTCTTTGGAGGAAGCGGTAGTGGCGGCGGTGCTGTCGCTGTAGGAACACTGGGAGAATAATCCTCCCCGTGTTCTTCCAGAGAATGCAACCGCCAGTTTCCTGTGACTGAAATGATTGTGAAATGAGGAGGGGAAAGCGTGGCGTGAGAACGCAGGCGGGGGAAGTGTGAGGCCCTTGTTGTTGTTTGCGTGGAAGCAGATGCGGAGAGGAGAGGGAAGAAGAGGGCGAGAGGAAGCGGAGGCAGAGAGCAGAAGGAAGGTGGTTGTCCCTTTCAGCACATTATTCGCTCCCACCATTGCATAATTCATCACTTCCCGTTATCCGGACACGAGAGAGAGAGAGAGCAGCTGCAATTCCTTCTCCTTACCTTCAATGCACTGGCTGCCGAGCACTTCGTTTTTTTTTTTTTTCCTTTTAATTTCGGGCAAAAATTTGTAAGTCTAGTCAAGATGAAAATATATCACTAAAGTGCATTTAGACATATGGAAAGTAATTTTTGAAAAATATTTTTTGAATTTTTAGTATTTGGTAAGAAGAAAAACTTAGGGCTCATTTGGTTCGCGAAAAATATTTTAAAGAAAGTGGAATTGCAATTCCATGAAAAAATAATTATTAGGAAGATGAATTTCATTATTTGGTTAGTGGAAAAAGAATTACTGGAAATACTAATTCTATTGTTTGGTTAGATTTAGAATTGTAAGGAATAACAAGTATAAAGATTTATATACCCCTACAAATTAATAAAAGTAATATAATTTTAAAAAAAAAAAAGTAAACAAGGGTAAAATATGCATTCCATATCACTTTTTCTTCCCCATCTTTCATGAAAAATAAAATCCTTGATCCAACCAAGAATTTTGTTTTCCTCAAATTTGAGGAATTCATTTTTCAATAGAAAATGAATTCCATGAAATAAACACAAGAAAACAACATTTTCCTTCATTTTAAGGAAAATATTTTCCTTTTGGAAAACATTTTCCATGAACCAAACATCTCTAGAGTCAATGAAAAATTATGTTTTGGTCAATAAAAAATGCATCATATTTTTACCGCATCATTTTTTCAAGATAATGACTTCCTTTTCTATTGAGAAAAGTCATTTTTCAAATTCTCTACCATCTCTTCACACATCTTCTCTCTCACCTCTTCCTCATGCCTCTTCTCTTTCACCTTCTTTAAAGTTCTCTGAAATGATTGACGGGCAGTTAGTCGGGCAAATGCGAAGCTAGTCTGGGCGACTGATTTTTGAAGTGAAAACCAATCGGGCAGATTGATTTTTGCTCTGGAAATCATATTTGTAGTAATTTCCTAGATAATGTTTTTGTGTTATATATATATATATATATATATATATATATATATATATATATATATATATATATATATATATATATAATTGCAGAGTGAGTTTTTGTTTATTTTTTATGAAGGATGAGATTGTCAATAGAGATTATGACAATATATAAATTTGTAATGAGTTTAAATTTTAATTAAATAAAATAATTAAAATGTTTAATTATATAATTCTGCTCATTTATGAGAAATGAACCAAACATACGAAGACAGTTTTCTAGGATGCAACCAAACATTTGAAAGAAAAATATTTTCTAAAAAATGAGTCATTTTTCATAAAACATTTTCTAAAAGTTATTTTCCTGATTTCAAAACACAGCCTTAAGAGGAATGGAATTAAAATTCCATGAAAAATGAATTCATTGTTTAGTTGGTATAAAAGAAATTAATGAAATATTAATTTCATTGTTGGGAAGGGTAAGGAATCTAAAAACATTGTGAATGAAAGTTATACCCTTTATTTATGTCCGTTTTTTCGTTAAGTTTTTTTTATACATTATGCTATAAAGGTTGTACTCTATAATATTTTGGACAAACATATCCCTACCGTTTTAATTTCCACTATTGTTACCATGCACATGCATCCACCATATATTTTCTTATCTTATTCAATAATAATAATAATAATATTTTTTTTTTGAAGAGAAATAATAATAATATTTATACATTATAATTTGGAGCTATTCCCTACAATATAAATATCAAACGTATAAAAATGTTATTATTATTATTATTATTATTATTATTATTATTTATAATAATTTAAATATTAAAAATCTTAATATAAAATAATAATATTGGACACCTAATTTTTGCGCATCGCGCATCAGAAAATACTAGTTATGAATATAAAGATCAATATGCTCTTTACAATAATAATGATAATAAATATTATATTGTATTGTATTATTATATAGCTATGTAATTAAGAAATTTTGATGAGAATATAATTGTCCATCCATGTTATATTTTCTTCCCAAGCCATGTGAAAAAAAAAAAAAAAAAAAAAAAAACCACATTTTTTCCTCAGAATTTGTTTTCCTCAATTTTCAAGAACTCCACGTCCAATGAAAAATGTTTTTCATCCAACCAAACAACAAAAAAAATTTTCATCCACTTTTGGAAACCCAAACAATGATTTTCTGTGTTTGGCAAAGCATAGAAAATAAAAGTCAATGGAAAATGACTTTGGGTTAAAGGAAATCAACTGATCTGCCTTCTCCAGTGAAGGAGAAGGTGACTAGTTGGTCTGCCTTCTCCTTCGCCAGAAAGGCAACCAACTTGGTCGCCTTCTCAGGCGAAGGAGAAGGTAGACCAGTTGGTCGCCTCCTTCAAACACAATTAACTACCGTTAAATCGCCGAAAAGTGTAAGAAAGGTCGTCGGAATCCTAGGTAACCTGTAATTACAATTTACATGTTACCAACTAGTTTCTGGGGGCTTAAATATTTCAAAATAACATGTTTATAGATTTAATTGTAACTTTTAAAAATTTAAATGTTTAATTAACTTTTTGAGTAAATTTCTGGTCTATTTTAACATTTTCCTAAATTTTATAGTTGAACCCTTTTATTTTTGTTTACAACATTTTTGAATTGCTCAAACTTACTGCGTGCATGCATTGCTTCGGCAGTGCCTCTTACACCGCACTACTCTCCGCCCCAAACCTCAATGATAGCTACAGGTTGAGAGAGTCTCCGTTGGAGAAAATTAAGCCACCCTTTGAAGATTCCATAGTCGGAATCAGCCGTCCCTCTGCTCGCGAGCTGACGCTTGACGATTAGGTGTTTGACAAAATGTCTGAACGACCCAGAGATGAAGTGTAAATTTTGTATGCAAAGGGTACGCAGCCTCAGATTTCTGCTTAGTATTCTTCAGAAGCGACAGCTAGGAAATAAAAATGGAACTATCCTCTTTGTCGAAGTTTGGTTCACAAGCTCAAGGATGGATGCTCATCATTTTTGGGTCCATTTCATTTTTGCTATTTGTATATGCTGCTGGTTTTTCCAAGTTTCTTCCAGGTTCTGGTAATCCTATAATAGCAGCCATTCAAAATGACAGGTAAATTTTCCTCATTTGATGTGAGATTGTGATTGTTTTCATTGCTATGTTAATGAAATTATGATTGCCCTGCTTATACCAGTTCACTACCTATGGATTATAGTATATGTGTGTTTGGTAAATAGATGTTAGTTGATAGCTATTAGATGATTGGATTAGTAGGTTTGACTAGTTGATAACATTAGCTGATTATAGAAAGATGTTTGGTAAATTAGTAGCTGATAGCTGATTATATACAAATAACTTTTTTAAAAAGTTAGATCGAAAAAGATGTTTTGATCCGCTTTTGAATTTTAGTGTTTTGGAGCACTAAGTTATTACAAGAAGCTAATTAATCAAACACTCATATTAGTTGTTTAATCAAATCAAACAGCTAATAATGATCAGACAAGTTAAAATTGACTGATTGATTAACTATTTGTCTATTTTACCATATAGGACCTATATGTATCCCATGTCACTGCAATTTTAAGTCCGAGTCATCAATTTTGGTGGAGCCCTGACATTGAAATGAAAAGTTTTTATAACTCTTTTGTCAAGAAAGGCCCAACTGGTGCATAAATGCCACTCGTAACATCCTGCATGACTAAAGACACAAACATAAGATGTGAAGTTAGTACGGTTTATGAAATTTCAGTTTGAAAAATGAGTTGCATTGAATAGTAATTATATGAATAGATCCTCAAAATGTAGTCTGTAATAAATAGAGCTAGAAAAACTTTATTGAAGATTTGAAGTTGATCATTATACAACTTCAAACAAGTGTCTTTCTATGGTTATATAGTGAATCCTAATTCCTAAGCTGAGTCTAACCTTGGGTTCCTTTTATTTCAGATACTACTACTTTTTGGTTCCTTTAACACTTCCTCTCCTTCTTGTTGCTGTATATTTTCATTGGCTCAGCATGAAGCTCTTTAAGCACGCCTAATGTGTTTGATCAAGTTACCAACCAAACGAGCCATCTGCCTACTGTAAGGGTGATTGTGAAAACCATTTTAGCTGATTGAGGATAATCACGGTCATAGTTACTTATGTAAGTGATCATCTCATCTCAACTCATGAAACCTACCACAAGCTGGAACTTCATGAACTTCTGCAGCATGGCAAAAGGTACCTAAACCGGGAACCCGGGAAGCAGAAAGACCGGTACGTTGTAGTTACATGTGTACTTGTATGTGAAAAAGAAAACAGCATAAGGAAGTATATGTTCTGAAGCACTGCAGCCACTCCAATGGTTCCTTTTATAGATTCTGAATCCACCAACAGGTAAAGGAATATGAAGAATCTTGATAAGGTTTAGAAATGGTCCTTCTTCCCCTGTTTTTAGCCTTCCTTAACATGGTGTGAACTCTTCAACAACCACCATAAAACAATATTTTCTTGCTATAAGTGATATCATAAGCATGCTTAACTACTAAGATGGTAATTTGTTGGCTAGTTTCTATGTGCTTTAAAAAAGTAAACAATGTTATGGCAGCAGTAGTTAGTTGGTCACCTTTTGTAGCCGTTGTATCATTGTCCCTCCCTTTGACTCATAAACAGGAAAGGTCAAAATAGATTTGATGGTTACGAGAATTGCGTACATGAATAGTTGGACAAGAAAAACCGACGTAGTGGAGTCCGATTCTTGATTATAGAGAATCGAATCAATCCGTTTTATATATATATATATATATATATATATATATATATATATATATATATATATATTTTTTTTTTTTTTTTTTTTTTAATACATTCGCACCATTGAGGTCCGAATGTATTGATATAATTTTTTTTTTGTTTTTTAATACATTCGGACCATTGAGGTCTGAATGTATTGATATATAATTTTTTTATTTGTTTTTAATAAATGCGGAAGAATGTATTGATATTATATTTTTTGTTGTTTTCATCCGATTTATTGTTTGCGGAAATAAATGGACTCTTAAAAAAGAAGAAGGTTCATGCTCAGTATGTATAATGTCCATTGATGAGGTGAGGACCCCGGCCCAA